TAATGGATTCTGGTGACCCATCAATCATCAAAGTAAGTCTGCCTCACTCCCTCCTCCTCCGATCCAGTACCCTCAACCAAACATATTATAGTAGTACGTGTGAGAGCCAAATTTAGCTGGTCTGGCTTAAACATATAACCTAGATGTGTCATGCGGCTGACGTGCCACCAACCTGACTGAACATGTTGTAGACCAACTTATAGCCTGGGCATGAATATATAGGACCCTACGTCTTCTTAAAAAAGAACATCGAAGTCAAAGTTCTCTCACAACAACTCCTTTGGACCATTTTTTCTTCCTTCCACACCATTTATTATTTATTCAACAAGCTTGGCTTCATTACCCTTGTTCTTAACTTTCTGCTACGCTATTAGCGTTATACTCTCAATCTCTTCCTACAATAAGTTATTTTTTAGTTGTTTTCACACCGATTAAGAAATTTATTTTTGAACATTAATTAACAATAAAATTAACCATATTAACCTTTACTATCTCTTCACATAAACACTCCTAACACATACTCCAACACTATTTACTCCAAGGGCAATGTAGGAAAAAAAATTTAATTCATTCTTAAAATCTGAAAAAATCCCTTATTTTGGACCTCAAAAAAATCACTTATTATGAATCGGAAAGAGTAAAACTTAAACATCCCTGCGAATATGATCTTTATCGCTTCCTTCTACAGCTGTCTATTACCTTTCTAATTTTAATCGTCTTTATATTTCAACTTACTTATAATTCGGTGTTAATTCCTTATTCCGTAATTTGTGGACTGTTCACAGTATTTTACCAACCTGAATTGATAAAAGCAAATAAGGGAACTGTTTCGACTTTGAAATCTCTCCGTTCCAAAAGAATGATCCAGTCTGATAGGATCCAATTGACCCACTTTAGATTACTCATTTACATCTTTTATCATCATAAATTTAATTTTTTATTTGAAAAAAGGAAGAAAAGGAAAATGAATGACTAAAAGAATATGAAACAATTATTAGAACGGTAATACTCAAAATTTACATCTACAAAGGGCAAAGGCAGCAACTCCGGGTCACAAGTATTAAATGGTTGAAAAGGCAATTAAGTTCTCATCTCACGCAACTTCCCCGGCTTCAAATAATAATACTAACCTCAAATAGCAAAAGCAACAACTCCAATTTACTCAGAAAATGACGCGCCGTCCTAATTGTACCTTAATGATAAGAAAGCTTAACGTAACCATGAAAAAAAACAAATACACTTGCCAATATACTATTTTCTTTTGCAAACATATTTAAATATTCTGCATCGAAACTTACATTTTCCTAATAAATAACTGTTTGTATTCACTTCAACTATTTTACTGAATATTTCAATTTATAGTGGTCCTTGTATTAGAAGCGGAACAAGAATTTAAAGTTTATAGGGTCTCAATTTATCACAGAATTTATAGTTCATTTTAGTTAATGTGTTCACAATTAAATATTTGTATATATTTAATAAAAAAATTAATATAACATACATAAGTTGAGAAAGAATTATTGGGTTATTCATAAGTACTCCTCTAGCTATGCTCCTTTTTGCTATCAACTTCTAGCACAAACATCACGTTACTCTATCCATTAAGACTTATCAATAAAAAAATATTACGTAATATATATTTTTGTCTCTACTAGTTTAGAACCCCAATTTATCATGAATTTCATTCCATTTCATTATATTGGTAAACCGACACAAGGATTTAAATATTCAGCATTGGAACAGGCATTCATCAATCTTCCTTTAGAATAACAATATATTGGTTTTACGAAGCTACCTGGCCGCACAGAGGCTATGCCATCTTGGTTTAGTCCAGAATAAAATGTTTCTCTACATCCAAAATACTAACATAGCCAAATCAAAATTCTCATTCGACTGGAAAAAAGCTAATGTGAAGATGAGATAATTCCTTTTCTTTTTAAAGAGTGAAGTAAGATCAATTTGCGCACATCTCGATTATTTTTTTAATATATATTATTTTGTCGAGTTACTCAATCTAACAAAAGTTAAGTAGATAAGAGGAAATTACCTAATATTTTTTTATGTGTAACGAAAATTGGATATTGATTTGCAATGATTGTCAGTCATTTTATCCACCATTAGATCACACCGGGCAAGATGATTCCTTATCTTGTAGTAACTTGAGCCAAATATTGGAAAAGAAATCAATTTGGAAGAGACTCTTAATCTATCCTTTACAATAAATAAATCGACAACAAAATCCAGCAATCTATCCTAAGTAAGAATGTACAAACTACAGTCTTAGCCCATGTTACCTAAAAAATCATACTCATGTAAATTCGGTCGCGAAATTTAAGAAAAAAGAGAACTTTTAAATTTATGGTGTAAGATGAAGTATATTTATTTTGTGTGATTATAAATTATTGGATAAAGAAAAATTATTTTTAAATATAAAAAATGATCATTCTTTTTGGTAAAAAATAAAATCACTTAAATTGAAACGGAGGAAGTCCTTTGCAGTAGCACCAATAAAAGGAATAGCCACATAGCAAATTGACCAAGTCAAGTCTTTCCTTTTTGTCATGATTCGGCATAATTTTCATCATTGGCTGCTAATTCTAACTTGTAAAAAGCTCTAAATTTCTTCTGTCATAAACGTTACCACATTGCAGATAGCCAGATATACGTTATGATCCGCAAAATAATTGAGTCCATTGGCAAAATTCATAGTGCTCCTCACCTTTTATTTTTACAGCAAGTACACCATCATCAAACATACATTTTCTTTTTCTTTAAAGCTTCAAATCATTGCAATTAGCAGCAGCATGAGAAACAAAAAACTACTGTAAAACCATGCTTCTCTTTATTGACATGAGTTTATGTTTCGTGACTTTTTAACTGTTCTAAATAAATAAAATTAGTTATCTAAAGATTAAGATAGACAACAAAATGAATAATACTAATAGTATAACAATTATTTAGCTACCAGTATATATAACTTAAATTCTTTTGAAAGATAAGAAAAGTAAAGAAAGACATCAGTCTTAACAACAAGAACTATTCACTTCTAATAGCATATATATATATATATNTCTTGGGGTGGGGTGTGATCATTCCCCAAACCATGCGTGAACGCGAGATACTTCGAGTACCGACTGACTCAATGGTAAAGGAATATCATTATTCTTGCCCCTTAACATAATTTTTACAATCTGATTTACAAAATTTTCAAGGGATAACCAACTAGGCTGGAGTAGTGTATATATTATATATATATATTTCGTATATAAAAGAAGGAAAAAGAAAAAGGTTAAAACTATAGGAAAAGCAGACGGAAAAAAAAAAAGGCAGACCTCAATTATCCTTGTCTTTGACAGAGTCCACAGTTTCGGGTCCTTTAGTAACACCAATTTTCCTCTTCTCCAAATGCAACTTGACATAGAAATTAAGGAACAAGAAGAGAATCGCACCATTAAGTACAGAGTTAAGAACCCACGCGCCAATTCCGTTACACCCACCCTTCAAGAAATGCAACAAAAGAACCCCAACATGACAAACAACGTTGCAACCCAACAACACAATCTGACAGTGATTCACAAAGTGGAAACATTTGCTGGGCAAACCTACGGCAGTCCAAAATCTGTACCCGTAAACCACCGAGTAAATCGAAGTTGTTAAAATTATGGCTAAAACTTGAAAAGATTGTGAGAATTCTAGCCACAAAAATGACATGAAGATGAGGATCGAGTGGTTAAACAGTTGAAAAAAGGAGAGTTTACGACGTCGTATGACAGTGAAGAAAGTGCGGAACGTGTGGAGGAAACGAGAGAGGTAAAAAATGTAGGACCAGAAGAAGACCCGACCCGAAGGACGGGTACCGAGTGGGAAACAGAGGAGCCATTGAAACGGGGTCGTTTTGTAACGGCGCCAGAACCAACGGGTGTCACGGATTTCTGCGGCGGCGGAGAGGAGGATTCCGGCGAAGATGGTGAATGAGATTAAGGCCATGGAGAGGGAGTGGACGGCGGGGATTGGACCGAGAGGGAGCGGACGACGGTGGCGGAAGAGGAGGAGGAGGAAGAGGTGGAGGAAAACGGAGAAGATGACGTATGCGGCTATGGAGGTGAAAAGGAAGACCCACGTGTTGCCCCATGATTGGCTGTGCTTCCAACGGAATCCGACGATTAATGGGTGTTCAGATAGGTAATAACATAGGGTTTGAATCATCGTTGTTTTGTTTCAGGCAGAGAGAAAATTGAGAATTTGTTGATCAAAATTCCAAACAAGGAGATCTTTTTCAACAAAAAGATGTTTTTCTCTGCCGGAAACGTGATGGTGCCGGAGCTTGAGCCGGCGAACTTCAGTATGGGGTCAAAATTGGGAGGAAGGTGAATGACACCACTGGTTTCTTCACCTCTGATCCTTATTTATATGAATATCTTCGAGACTAAGGGACAAAAAATAGGAATGAAGAGGAGGAAGATTTTTTTTCTATAGAAAAGTTTTAATATCTTTTCTTTTTTTAATTGGTAGGGCGGTCGGGATGAGGAAATTGGAACTGAACTTTAATATTTGAAAATAGTTAGTGTGCGTTTGGATATAAATATTGTAACTTTAAAAGAAAAATAATATTTTAAGTTAAATTAAAAAATAATATTTAAAAATTAAAATTATAACTGACCTGCATTTTATTTGAAAAAATATTACAATTTTGTAAGGGAGGATTTTTTTTATTTTTTATTTTGAAATATTAAAAAAGTGGTCAAAACTGATAAGGATAAGTTGAGCTAAGATTTTCATTTGAATTCAAATTGTTATATATATCTCCTAAACTTCTCCCCCTCATCTACAAAACTCCTACTACCATTGCACTTCTTCAGATATAAATATACCCATTTACATGACTGAATAATACAAGTTGGAATACCAAGTCTTCACTGTTTTATGGTATCAGAAGCCTTAAGCTCACATGAGCAACTCCAAGTCTGCAACCTTTTTTTCCTCATTCAGTTAAAAGCCTAATGGGAGAAAACTCAAGCATCACCACCTCACCAACCATTTTCAGCCATGGAAATGTGATCCAACCAACACAAATGATTTCGTTCAACCCACCATCGAAGCTCTCGATCAAACTGATGGGAAGCTCAAACTATTTGACTTGGCAAGCCCAAGTAACCACCCTGCTATTTAGATATGATCTCCTATCCTACATTGATGGCACATCTGTTATTCCTCCAGTGTGTATTGCAGATGACAAAGGCAGTCAACTTCCTAATCCAACATACAAATTGTGGCCAAGGCAAGACAACCTTGTTCGCAGTGCAATCATGGCCTCTGTCGATCCATCCATTGCGCCACTGATGTCTCAAGCAGCTACTGCCAAAAACGTATGGGATAGTTTGCAAACGACTTATGCAAACAAATCTCAAGCAAGAATTTTTGGACTTCGTGAGTTACTCTCAAACATCAAGCGAGACTCCAAGTCCATAAGCGACTACATGAAAGAAATTAAATCCATTGCGGATGATCTGGCTGCCTCTGGCTCACCTCTAATAAATGCGGAACTAGTCATCAAAGTTTTGAGCGGACTTGGAGCAGAATATAAAGAGATCTCAGCGGCTATACGTGCTCACGATAATCCCATATCTTTCGAAAAACTATTTGACAAACTTCTTGCTCATGAAGTTTTTGTCCAGCACTCAGAATCAAAGAATGAGTAGAGCCTTTTATCACTGCACAATTTAGCCAGCAGCGCAACTCGTTCAACCAATCTAATGGAAGAAACCACACTAGTTCTCAGTGACGAGGAGGGCTTTCCAATTTCATGCCTAACAACCATAATGTTTCTTGACAAATGACCAACTCAAAGGCGTTCAATAATAGGCCTAAGCAACAAAGAGTGCAGTGCCAACTTTGCAACAAGTTTGGTCATATAGCTAAGGTGTGCCGCTCTAAATCTCATTATGCACTTGAAGCTCTGGCAAATTTTACCAATCATACAAACTATGCTGTCAATCACTCAAGTTCATGGATTGTTGACTCGGGGGCTTCACATCACATCAAAGATAATCCAAAATGTCTTCAGTCTGCTACTCACTTCTCAGGCAATGATGAAATCATCATCGATGATGGTAAAGGAATACCAATAACTTATATTGGTCAAACTACATTTCCTTGTGATAAAACTAAGTCTTTTCATCTGCATAATGTTCTCTGTTCTCCAAGAATCAAAAGACATTTACTTTCAGTTGCTAAATTTTGTCGCCACAATCAAGCATCTATTGAATTCTTTCCCTATTCTTTTTGTGTGAAGGATTTGAATACGGGGGCATGCCTCCTGCAAAGACGGAGCAAAGGGTACCTCTATGAATGGCCAGCTGACAAGTCACAACATCGTCCATCATCTCCTCTTGCTCACTTCACAACTACATCCACACCAACAATGCACCTATGGCATGCCAGACTTGGTCACCCTCAACCTAGAATAACGAAATCATTTGTTTCTTCTTTTATGCCTCATGTTGCTAGTAGTAGAGATGTTTCCTTTACATTCTGTCATTCATGCTTATGTAATAAAAGTCATCTCCTTCCTTTTGGTGACAATTCCATTAGCAGTTCTAGACCTTTTGAATTTTTGTACTCTGATGTCTGGGTTCCTCCTCCTATTCACTCATTTGATAATTTTCGATTTTATGTGATTTTTGTGGATCACTATACGAAGTACACTTGGTTATTCCCATTACGGAATAAATCAGATGTTCAAGGAGTGTTTGTGAGCTTTATTAGAATGGTCCAAAACCAATTTCACCTCACTGTTGGCACACTCTATTCAGATGGGGGTGGAGAATATATAAGCTAAAAATCTATTTTACGCAGCATGGCATTCAACATCTCACTAGTCCTCCCTACACTCCTCAAATTGTTGGCCTAGCTGAACGCAAGCATCGACATATCATTGATATTGCTCTAACTTTAATGCACCATGCATCTGCACCTTCACGTTCTTGGTCATTGGCTTGTCAAACGGCTGTCTATCTCATTAATAGGATGCCTACTCCATTTCTCAAACTCTGCTCTCCTTTTCAATGCCTCTTTCACACATCCCCTAACCCTTTGAAATTAAGAGTTTTTGGATGTTTATGTTACCCCTGGTTAAAACCATATAACAACAATAAATTTGCTCCTAAATCAAGACCTTGTGCCTTGTGATACTCACCTTCTACAAATAGTTATGCATGTCTTGATCTTTCAACCTCCAAAATATTCATCTCAAGACATGTCCTGTTTGTGGAACATATTTTTTCATTAAAAAATAATCAGCTAGGTCTTCCAGAATTGAACCATCAATATTGCACCAGTGGATCCACCCCACAGAACCAACCAATGTTTCTCCAATACAAAATCAGTCAGATATTGCCTTTGAACCTATCTCATTGCCTCCCTCAAGAAACTATCCTTGTCAGCCGCCACCCATGGAAGGTTCCCCGAGCTTATCATTGCAGGATGATACTTCACCTTCACTCAAGGTACGATCTTCTCCACCTTGCTCTTCTTCCACTATTGCGCCTCTTCTATCTGCATCTACCACGCAAGTGGTTCCTCTTACTCCCTCAAGAATGGTGACGAGATCTCAAAATAATGTGTTCAAGCCCAAACAAGTTTTTGAATACCTTGCTGTCTCGCCCAACAATATACTACCACTAGCACCTCATACGTTTAAGCAAGCAAACAAATATATTGAATGGCATGATGCAATGCAGGCTGAATACTCATCCCTTTTGAATAATGCTACTTGGTATTTAGTTCCTCCAACTTCATCACAAAATGTGATAGGCTGCAAGTGGGTGTTTCATGTAAAACACAATGCAGATGGATCAATCGAGCGATATAAAGCGCGTCTAGTTGCAAAGGGTTTTCACCAAATACCGAGTGTTGATTTTCATTCTACCTTCAGTCCAGTCATTAAACGTACCACCATTCGTCTAATTATTTCTTTAGCAGTGTCTTTCAGGTAGCCCTTACGACAACGAGATGTCAACAATGCTTTTCTCCAAGGCACCTTGCATGACGAAGTCTATATACAACAACCTCCAGGATTCGTTAATCATGTTTATCCCAATTATGTCTTCGGACTTCATAAATTCATTTATGGACTTCGCCAAGCTCCAAGAGCTTGGTATAAAGAACTCAAGAACTTTCTTCTTTCATGTGGTTTTAGCAAAACTCACTCGGATAACTCACTATTTGTCTGGTGTTAACACAATATCCTTGTCTTTGTTATGGTGTATTTCGATGATATTATTGTCACTGGTTTGTCAATCAAGCATGTCTACCACACCATCAAGTTGCTGGGCAACAGGTTCTCTATCAAAGATCTTGGATCTTTGCATTTTTTTTCTTGGTGTCGAAGTCATTAATCCACATTCAGATGGTCTCTTGCTTACTCAAAGCAATTATATTGCTGAGCTATTAGATAAATTTCACATGCTGGATGCAAATGGTGTTGCTACTCCAATGTCTACCAGTGAGCATCTAAGCATTAATGATGGAACATGTTCAGCAGATGTGAAGCTATATAGACAAGTCATTGGTTCTCTTCAGTATCTTAGTTTTACAAGGCTAGATATTTGCTTTACCATCAATAAGCTTGCTCAATTCCAGCATACTCCACCGATTCGACATTGGCAAGCAGCTAAGCGCTTGCTCAGATACCTCAAAGAAACACTCACCTATGGACTTCTCATAAGGCCCTCATCCACTACCATACTTCAGGCTTACTCTGACGCTGATTGGGGCGGAATGCTTGATACAAGACACTCAACTTCAGCTTATTCTTGGGTCCAATCCTATCAGTTGGTGTTCTAAAAGCAGCGAACAGTTGCCCGTTCATCCACTGAAGCTGAGTATCGAGCTGTTGCAGGAGCTGTAGCTGAAGTAAGCTGGATTGTTAATCTCCTTAAGAAGCTACATCTTGCACCTAAGACTCCGCCAAAAATCCTAGCAAAACCTCTACCTCGACACATTAGCAATGCCTCACAGCTTGCAGATGCCCTAACAAAACCTCTACCTCGACGACCTTTTCTCTGACTTTGTGACCAAGATTAGCTTCCGACCAGTGGAGCCAATCTTGCGGGGCATGATAAGGATACTGATAATGTGTAAACATAAATTACATAAATTGCTTACAGCATCCAAATTAAAACATATTTAACTTGCTACAGGAAACAGTACCGTCTGGTTCGAATTTAGAGTTAATTTTTGTTGCACACTTAGATCTGCTTTTTGTCAAAGCCTTTTTAGTTTAATTAGAGATTTTTGTGTCAACATGGAATAACCTGATATAATAAATATAAAAAACTAGTCAACCCAAAATATTATATTGAGAGGCAGTTTTATTAATTATAAATATTCTCAATATTAAAAATAAAATAAAAAGGAATCGCAAAGGGGTCAATAAGAGGAGGTCATTTCTCAAAAAAGTCGGCGTAATAAGCATGTATATTACGACCCGTGATCAATGGGCAGCTTAATTAAATTTCCTAACGTACTTCTTTTCAATAAAAGAAGCCGACTTAAGTCATAAGAGAGGATTGTTAAGTGATAAGTACTTTTACCCTAAATTTTAAAGTTGCAGGTTTGAATATCAAGGAAACAAAGTAAGAAAATTATAAGGAGTTAAAAAACCCCAACATAAGTTCATACATTATTCATTTAATGAAATGTCTGTCTTAATTCATTAGCTACTTTTTTAGTCTGTTTCAAAAAACTTTAATATTAAACTTCTCATTTTTTTCACATATTTTATAACCATACAAATATTTATAATAATTTCTTATATCATATATTTAATTTTTTTAAGTTCTATGCTCAGTTAAATAATATCACATAGATTATGACAAAAGAGTAATACGGTAGTGGGATTTTCTACTTTGAAATCGATGACTGATTACACCATGATTTGGCGTATATTTCATTTGTTGCAGTTAAAAAAAAAGCTCGTAGTTAGACTTTGGGATGGGCCGGTCGGTCCTCCCTAGATGTGCACCAGTCGTCTCGTCCTTTCTGTCGGCGATGCGCTCCTGGCCTTAATTGGCCGTGTCGTGCCTCCAGCATTGTTACTTTGAAGAAATTAGAGTGCTCAAAGCAAGCCTACGCTATGTATACAATAGCGTGGGATAATATTATAGGATTTCGGTCCTATTAAGTTGGTCTTCGAGATTGGAGTAATGATTAACATGGACAGTCATGGGCATTCGTATTTCATAGTCACATGTGAAATTCTTAGATATATGAAACGAACAAATGCGAAAGCATTTGCCAAGGATGTTTTTATTAATCAAGAACGAAAGTTGGGGGGTGGGAGGGGGGAGAGGAAGACAATCAGATACCGTCCTAGTCTCAACCATAAACGATGCCGACCAGGGATCGACGGATGTTGTTTTTAGGACTCGACCGACACCTTATGAGAAATCAAAAGTTTTTGGGTTCTAGGGGGAGTATGGTTACATCTTGCCCTTTGTACATACCACATTTGGGAGTATGATTCCTTCTGGTTACGTCCTTGCTTTGTTTGCCTCACCGAAAAATTGGGGTGCTCATTAGCCTCGGTTTTACCGGTATACATATAGTCCCCTCATTTCTTAAAGAGTAGGTTTTCCGAAACGATGAGAAATGATAGATGTTCTCCGATTTCTTCCTCCGTACGTTACGACAAAGAAGT